ATTAAGGACAAGAAATGCATCTGATTTTCTCAGGTGGGTTTTGTCTCCTGAACTTTAATTGAGCTTGTTAATTAGTTCTAACAGTTTTCATTGGAAAAGAGTGTAGCATTCTCTATGAAGAGGACTTGTCCTCTGCCAACAGAGGTGGCCGTTCCTTATTCCTTCCTGATTTGGATTCCTGTGGTTTCTTTTTCCTCTCAGATTCCTCTGTCTGGGGTTTTAAGCACTACATGGAACAGACATTGTTGCAGTGTGGGCAGCCTCATTTTTTTGGAGGACGTCCATCATGAAAAAGTATTGATTTTTTTCAGAATCATTTTCTACTCCTATTGAAATAGTATGATTTTTTATCTTTCATTCTGTTCATATGGTTTATCATATTGATTTATTTATGTGTTTTGCAGCATTCTTGCCCTCTGGGATGAATCTCACTTGATCCTAGTGTATGATTTAGTGAATGTTCTGTTGAATTTGCTCTACCAGTATTTTGTTAAGGATTTGTGGCTACAGACCTGAGGTATATTGGTCTGTACCTGTAATTTTTATTGTGTTTTTTTAATATTACAGAAACTTTACAGTCTGGCCTAGTTGAAAGTCATACAAGTTATGTTTAGAATGCTGCTTCTCAGACAGGAAAGAGAAAGCTAAGCAGAAATCCCACCATAATTCCTTTCTGTGAACCTGAACTTGCCCTTCCTTGCTGCTCCATGGGTAGACCCCACACATTGACCAATCACTGTGGGAGGACAGGCCTTAGCACTCAGCCTGTCACCTGCTACCATTAGTCCTGCACCAAATCCTGTGGGAAAAAGCCAAAGCAGTTTTTTACTTGCATTAATTGCAGAGTTATATCTTTAATGTGCCTTTATCAAATGAGGTCTTCTCTAGAGAGACCCTGAACTTGTCAATGTGTTTCTTCATGTAAGAGCTTCCTTGGCTTCTCTCCTTGTGGGCACAGATAGACCTCTCTCAGCAACCATAGTGTTTCTTGGTGGGTGGGGAGCAGATTTGGCCATCCACCCCTCTATGTGACTCCAGTTCGGGCTATTTCTACCAGTGTTGGCAGGATAAATAACTAGCTTTCGACATGCTGGATGAAGGAAGGGACACATGCTAAGGACTTGGAAGGGTGCTGCACGGTGATTCTGAGGAGTATCCATGACCACATCTCCCAGGAGATCTGCCCAGGCCTCTGTCTCCTGTATTCTAGACACCAGGGCTGTTTAGCAGCAGCCTTCAAACCTGCCCACTCAATGGGGGACAAATGACATCTCAGTAATATACAGGTTGATGTTCAGAGGTTGAACATCTTTAACAGTTACTCTGTGCAGTGATTCGCTTTTGAATTGCAGGGATTTATCTTTTGTCTCCCTAGAAAAATGATTGACTCCTGAGGTTCTATGAGTCCCTGGGGTATTAACCTTTTATCAGTCTAGGGTTTTAAGGAACACTTTACTAGTTGTGATTTTTCTAAGTATCTGTGTTCTTTTTGTTTTTCCATCGGGGGTTAGTCATTTCCTATGTGACTTCTGACCCTTAAGTCAGAAGAAAATACCTTCAATTTCAATGTTATGAAAGAAACTCTACTTTTTACAAATGAACTTAGACCTGCTGGATGGGTGGCACATAACTCTATCCAAGTAACTCAGGAGGCTGAGGAAGGAGGATTTGAAGTTGGAGGCTAGTTTTCCCAACTTAGATGCTCAGCAACTTAGTGAGACTCTATCTCAAACAGAAAAACAACTGGGGATGTGGTATAGTGTTAACGTGCTCCTGGGTTCAATACCAACTTCTTAAACAAGTAAAATAAAATAAACAAATTAAAACAAATAATACAAAATCTAATAATGTTAGCTGTACATGGGATTTACCATTCAAAGAAAAGTGTAAACAGTCCTTCCACTACCATATGGCCAAACACTGTGGTTGGACTGCAGTGATGTGAAAAACCCAGAGGAGGCAAACCCCAGGGAGAGAATAATGACTGTTCCCTGGAGACTAACAGGGGAGAGAAGGGGAGGGAGTGGATATGGGTACCAGATACAGGACAAGGAATGCAATTAAAGCCCATAAGCTGGACATTTTTTTAAAAATACAGTCTTAAATTTTAAAATAAAGTAGTATGAACAAAAATACAAAACAAACAAACAAAAAAAAAACAAAAGGAGAAAACAATGAAAGGGAGGAGAAGGAAATGGCAGCTCTGGGGCGGGAATAGGTGCAAGAGGGCCCTCAGTGGGTGGTGCTGGCTGTGGGGCCACTAGGAGCCACAGGCTTGAGGCTGCTGTTAACGGTGTTTCTGACCCTGGTGCTCTCTCAGGTGGTGGAGGTGGTAATGGAAGTTAAGGTGGGGTTTCTTATCTCTTCCTTTATCCTAACTTACAATCCCATACAGTCCACTGCATGTATGTTTCCAAGTGCTTTATTATTCTGCTTGTCTTGTTGGTAATACCATAAAGGATGTCTCTGTGCACTCTTCCATTTGGCACTAGTGTTGAGACTTACCTGCCTGATGATGTGGTGCTGGATGTGTTCCTTGTTACAAAGTGAATTTATCTTTTCTCCAGCCATTGAACTTAAGAATTCTTTTTTATTTTCATTTTTAATTTTAGAAGGTTTAAGTTTAGGCCAGCTCGGCAATGGAGTCCTGCCTACGACCTGCACAGACAGCTAAACTAGAGGTCACTCTAGTCAACTTCCTTAGGCATCAAATAAAACACCTTTAAATCAAGCCCTAGGATGGCTCCTCTGCCCTCCACCTCAAGCTCCCAAAATGGAAGAGCTAGGAATCTCATGAGAGGCTGGCCAGAGGGAATGAGCACATTTTGGAGTAGACTTTATTGGGGGGAACTCTATATTCTTTAGAAATTTCCATCCAATGAAGGTCAAGAGGGTCAGGACCGGTGAGGTAACTCGATCCCTGGGGATGTAGGAAGGCATGCCCTGGGGGATGGAAGTCCAAATTTTAATGCTCGTGTAGGTTGAATTGCAGGATTTATTGCCCTTAAATCTTGTATTAACCTCTAATTACCTGAATTTTTCTTAATTATAAAAATGGGTGTGTTCCAAGGGCTAAGTGTAGGCTCTGGATGACCAGCTTTAAGCTATTCTTTGACTCAAATATGAGCTATTTTAAGTTTTTCCCGTTAGAGGCCACTGACTAACCCAAATTGGCTCTTCTGTGAGCCAAGTGATCTTTTTTGCTACCTTTTTTTTTAGAGAGGGAGAAAAGAGAGAGAGAGAGAGAGAGAGAGAGAGAGAGAGAGAGAGAGAGAGAGAATTTTTTTAATATTTAATTTTTAGTGATTGGTGGACACAACATCTTTGTATGTGGTGCTGGGGATTGAACCCGGGATGCACACATGCCAGGTGAGCGCGCTACCGCTTGAGCCACATCCCCAGCCCTTCTGCTACATTTTGTACTGGGATAAAATAATGGCCTCTACCAAAACTTTTGGTTGGGTGCATTAATTAATCTCTGTTGAGGAGACTGGTTCATAAGTAGAGATTCATCCTGTAAATTTCTTTCACTATCCCTAGGAATAAACCATTGATTAAATTTCTCAGATGACTTGATAGAATTTGGAATTACTAATAATAATCCTAAACTGCTTAGGATATCTCTTCCCCATAAGTTTACCGGTAAAAAATCTAAAACATATGTCTTAAAAATTTCAGTATTTCCATCTCGGTCCTCCCAGTGAAGATATTGGGCACTCTGAGCAGGCTGACAAATCTGTCCTATTTCTTCTAAATTGGCTGGCGCAATATGGAAAGGCCAGGTTTGGGGCCAAAATCAGCGAGACAAAACTGATTTATCTGCCCCAGTATCTGTAACTCCTTGAAATTTTTTATGATTAATTTTAAGTTCCAATAGGGGGTGCTCCTGCCAAACTAATTGGGCCCACTACACGCCGCCCAGCGATTTGGAAATTGAGATTTTATCCAAACTGTCCACGGAGCTTCAGGGTAAAAGAATTGGGCTAGCGCGTTTTTAGTAGAAAGCTGAATGGCATATTCTGATTTTACAGTAACTGTTATTTCACCTCTAAAACAAGTATCAATAATTCCCAGTAATACTTGGATTGACTCTTTAAAATTATTTAATTCCAAAATTAATCCTATAGTGCCTGTGGGTAATGGCCCATGAATTCTGGTAGGAATCTGCTGGGGTCCCATTTCAGGTGTTAACATGGCTAGTTGTAAGAGTACTGTGTGGGTGGTGCCTGCCAGTAAAAATGGCGGTCCGCCATGGCCAGCTATCATAACATCAGAGCCTGCGACTCCTCCAAATCCCCTTCTGTTTGGCAGGCCTGGGGAAAGGCAGGGTTAACTAGGACATGTGAGGTAACTCAATCCTTGGGGATTTAGGAAGGCATGCCCATGTAAGAAGACACATTTGCGTTTTTCTACCCTCAAGATTGGGGCTATTGTCTTCAGCTACTTAAAAGTAGCCACATCACCGGGGTGACCATCAGTGCCACAGCTGATCAGGAGGGGAAGCAAATGCTGGTCACATGCTATGGCAGCCTCCCACAATGGAGCAAGAACCTGTCTCAAAATGAAAAAGGAACAAGATCATGGATGTAGCTCAGTGGTAAAGTGTCCCTGGGTTCCAGCCCAGTAACAAAAAAATAAGAATAAAAAATAAAAAACGTAGATCAGTGTGGCATTTTCCCTTCTAAGGAAACATAATTAGTCCCTTCCAATGTTATGCAGCCCAGAAGAAATCAGACTGCACTGGTTTGAAAAATACAGACTCAGCATATCACAGGACTAGAAGCTAAGGGGTCATCACTGGGGACTAGCAGGAGGGAAGGGAGGCAGTGGTCATGGATACCGAATTCCAGAAGACATTCTGGAACTACATTGTGCTGACTAATGTACAGTATAGAGAAGGCACTTGATGACAAATGACTGAGACTTTTAACAATGAAAACAAATCTTTACTTTTAAATAAAATAATAAACACATATAATAAAAATTAATAAACAAATGGCCTGGGAGATCACCAGAGGCTCTGGGTTCCTCTCTAGATGCAGTGCTGACTGAAAGGCCAGCAGGAGACGTTGGCCTTGATGGTCCACTGCAGGTTCATCCAGCTCCAGTTTTCTATCAGATGGTACAGGTGGTGGACCTTGAACTGGAGCTTCCACAAGCACCAGAGCGGCTAGAGGAGTAAAGGTCCACTGACTATCCATGTTAGGTCCAGGGACAGAATATTCCCTACTGCCTTTCATACAATTCCACACACAAACCCAACACCAGGCAGTGTTCCCAGAAAGCACACAATGACAGCTCTGCCTCTGGTTGTTCCTGCCCTGCCCCAGTTCCTGTGCAATATGCTCTGCTTGTCCATCCTCGTCCCATTCTGACATACTCAGAACCCCACCTCAGTCCTCCTCACCTTCGGCCTGTTCCTCCATGGGCTCCAGGTTTTCTGTCAGGGCTGGGACCTGGTGTCCTTGGTCCTCCTCCTTGGGGCCTGTGACAGTGACCTGGCTGTGGACATTACCAAGTGGGTAGTGAGACAAATGCAAGTGAGGGAGTGAGGAGACCACCCAAGAGGGATGGGGGCAGCAGTATGAGAGGCCTGGCCTTTCCTACCATGAGGTCAGTGATCTTGGCACCCCACAGTTCAGAGGAGAGGGCTGAAGCTCAGAGAGGCCCAGGGCCAGTTCGAGGACTCACAGCTGTATGTGACCCTGTCACCCTGGGCAGGGCTTACCTTCCCAACATTTGGTACACCTCTTGTTGTATGGAGGAACTCGAGATGGTTGAGGCCGAAGAGGATGATTCAAAGAAGAAGATGGGCTCCAGGGTGTCCTCTAGGTCCCCCAGGGAGTATGCCTGGAACACATATCCAATGCTGGTATCCTCCCCTCTGTAGCCACCTTCTTGGTTGGGACATTGAGGAAACAGAGTCAGTGCCAAAGTGACCCCCCAGAAGTGTCTGGGGATGGAGTCCAGTGCAATAGCCAAAGCTCATAGGGGCTTGTCCCACAGAGGGACAGGAAAGCCCAGCAGAGCAATGGCTGGCAGAGTTCACAGTGGAATTGCTGAGGGGATAGTCAGAAACACAGCAGCTTCAGGCCAGTTTGTTAGCTGAGCAGAGGTGGCAGCTCCCTGCATTAGGAGCTTATCCCCTGAGTCCCACCAGCACATCACCTTCTGAAGATGGGAAAACAGGCTCATCCCACACAGGAGGGTCCCTGTATGAGGACACCCAGGACATCATTCTCTGTGGTGTCCTTGTGATGATTCCAAGAGCGAATGAGGTCCAGGTCCTATAGCTCTGAAAGTCTGAATGACTGTGGAAACCAGGTCCCACTGGAAGGTGATGAGGCCCTGGGTCCCCAGCACCTGCTTTCACAGTCTGGGGTGTGTTCCTTGAGACCCAAGTACCAGAGAAATGGACCAATTGGCACAAGTCTTGTGATGTTTCAGCTAAATGCAGCCCTAGTAATCCTGATGCTGTGTAAGACTTGGAGAGTGTGTGGAAGGACCGTCAGGCCATTGTCACCTGGACACCTGGGTGTAGGAATTATAGTCAGTTGGATGGCAGAGTACAAATCATCAGAGAATTAAAATGAAATAATGTCCATGTTGCTGTTCTGATGTTGTCAAAATTATGGGAACAGTGACCTTTGATGAGTCCAAGAATGAGGCAGGCAGAGAGGGTGAGGAGGACGGGTTCAGATTCCTCACGGTGGGGACTCTGCCCCTCCACCTCCCATCCCTACCAGGAAGGTGGTCCTGGTGGTGTCTTTGCTCTTATTCACTTTTATTCTGCTCTGTTCGCTGCCAGTAGAGTCCCCTCTGTTCTGCACTTATCCTGAGGCCCAGCTCCTGCCCATTGGTGCTTGGCTCTGGATATTCCTCTCTGCACATGGAGTTAGAGCTGAAGCTGCAGCTCCAGCCCTTGTGGAGGGTAAACTGTGGAAAGAATGGAAGACAGTGCCTGGTAGCTGGCCGGGAGCCCCAGCCCCTGCTGGCCTCCGTTCAGGGTGTTTCTGCCCCATGTGACCTTCTGCTCCCCCGACCTCATACAGATCCTGTATCTCAGGCTTCTACCCTGTAGGACAGGAAATGACACTGGGTGCTCAGGATGTACCGTGGACACTTTCATTGCCCACCTTTAGCCCTGTCCTGGGGGTGACCATGATGTGACATGAGGCTCACAAAGTCACACCTCCTGCTTCCACCTCAGGTCCCTATTCTCCCCTACTGAGGAGCAAGGTGGTGGGGCTCTGCAGGGCTACTCACAGTGATAGTCTCTCCCGGATGTACTTCCCCAGGGCT